AGAGGCCACGGTCGCCCCGCACTCTGATCAGCCCTCGCAGCATCGCCGCCGCCGGCTTGAGACGGCCGCTCGCTATCTCGAGAAAGTGCTGCAGCGTGCAGGAGATGGTGACGTCCGCCGTCTCCGAGGCCGCGCCGCCGGCATCGCCGGGGCTCGTCACGCCACCCGCCGCGTCTGGAGCCGCACGCAGCTCCCACACCCACCCAGCCGCGTCGCCCGGCGCGCCGAGCTCAAACCGGACGAGGCAGCGCTTGCGCAGCCCCTCGACGGGCACGGCGAGCGCGCGGCTGAGCGCATCGAAATAGGCGCCGAGCGTGGCGAGCGCGTCAGCCTCCGAGGCGGCGGCGACAACCTGCATATATATTTTGTAGTCCTGCGGCGGCAGTGGTGGTCGAGTCAGCAGCAGCGACGCGGGCGCATTTCTTTTTTGAAAACTAACCTTTTCTATTTTCGAGTTTCCAAAAAACAGCGTAAGAGCTACATACACTGAAAATCCTGTCCTGACCCCAGGAATTGCGACTCGCCGCTTTCCTCCCGCTGTGATTCTGTGTGAGCTCTGTGTCTTGATTTGCCAACAAGACACTTACAACTGTCGTTCCAAAGTTTCTTTGAAGGGGGTATAAGACTTCCCAGAGATTTCAACAAGCACGGCGGCCAGTCAATCCCACATGCTGTTCCTCGGCCTTGCCCCGACGCGCAGACCGGTCGCCCCTCGGTCCGGCTCGCCTCACATGGCTTCAGACGAGCTGTCGGAGCTCCTCCTGCTACCGTCCTCTTCCACGCAGCTCGTGCTGCCCGGTGAGCGAAGAAGGTTGCTCTTTCGCGAGCCTGACGAGATGGAGATGCTGAGTCATTCTGTGACGAACAATGACGGCAAGTTTGGCCAGATGATCAGCACGGAAAGCCAAGCAGAAACGGTCGCCGAACAGTGTGCAGGCTCTGAGGAGCGAATGCGGATGAGGATGAGCTTTGCAGCTGCGGGGCTGCCGCAGCAGGTCGAGCCGTGGGTGGCTCTGCTCCAGGTGATGGAGGTGAGACGCATCAACCACGATGGCGCTCTGGCCATTGAGGTGAAGGGTGTCGGGAGGGCCGCTCTCGAGAGCGTCCCTGCACGAGTCCGCCGCCCAGACGGCGTCCTGCGGGCGGCCGCCTCCTTTGTGGGCGACGAGTTGCTGAGCAGCGACCCGAACAGCTCGGCCCTCTCCCAGTTTCTCGACCTCGCCGAGCACATGGAGCGGGTGGAGGAGGAGCTCGACGCGTGCCGCGCGCTGGAGGGCCAGCTCCTCGAGCCCGAGAGTTGCGCCCGCTTTGACGTGCCGCTGAGGGAGCAGGTGCAAACTGGGCGCACCGCCCTCTTGCAGCGCG